TGTCAAATTTCAAGTCTTGGATCACATTTTTGCTCAGGCAATTGATCAGTTGACCTAAAAATCAGTTGTATTTGGGAAAATGTCAATTGTGGTCAATTTACAGTCAAACTTCATAATTTTTTATCCATGTCAACATTATGAACTCATATATGTCATTTGACCAAGTTTGTACCATAATTCCTCAAGAAATTTGATCAGATCATCAAAAGGGCAAAATGGTCAAAATTAGGGTTTTGACTGAGAAAGGGCAATTTCTGATTTTTGACCTAGCAAATGGTTAATTGGTTTGAGACATGATCTCAAGGTTTAAATTTCATAATTTTGAACTAATGGTATGACTCAAAATTTCCCTCAAGATCAATTGATTGATAGTTGATTTTCAGTCAACTGATCAAAAATCAACTGTACACTGAAAAGTCAAACTTTGACTTTTTGGTCAAAATCAAGTGTTAAAGATCACAGCTCATCAAAACATATCAAAATATGAAACTTGTTCATCAAGAAATCAAAAATTCAAGATTTCATTTTGAAAAGTCAAAATTTCCAAACTTAGAAATTTTTCTAAGTGTTGAAAACTTCATATTTTTTCACAACTTTGAGCCAATTTTTCACCATGATGCAAGATGATTCAAAGGAAACTTTCAACATGAAAGTTGTAGATCTCAATGAGATCTAAATCATTGCTGATCATAACTCCTCCTAGAAATGTATGGATTTCAAGTTATTAATCCATGAAATCATGTTCATGAAACTAAAACACAGTGAAATTTTGAGCATTTTGGTCAGGATTTTGACCTAACTTCTTGGCCAAGTTTCACATAGTTTCAATTGGATTTTGCAAAAATTATTCAAAGAGATGTTGTATAGCACATTATAAGCTTTCCAAAATGTCCAAGAACTCCTTGAGATCATTTTTGAGCAAGGAGAATCGAAGGCAAGAAGTTAGGGTTTCAAGTTGTTTTACAAGGCAGAATTTGTGATGCACAGTGGACCAAATCACATAGCCATGCTGCATAATCTCACTTTGCAGGTTATAACTTGTGTTTCACTCCTTAAATAATTATTTACACAAAATTTTGAGCCATTTTCCAAGCATTTGAACCATTATCCAAGTTGCATTTCCATTTTTAGAAGAAAGACACCATTGTTATTCTTGAAAAGTGACTTTAATCACAAAGTCAACTTGTATGGAGTTTTGCACTAGTTCTTTCTGCACAAGCATACTCGATAAACTTAGAACAAATATTTTTAAAGTTTCTATCCACCCTACAAGACATTTACCTTGCATTGAAACCATGTTTGTAAAGATAACTTCAAAAACAAGTCAAAAACTCATAACATGTGATTCTTTGTTTCTGATCATTTCAAACCTCAAAATCTTTCCTCTATAAATAGAGATAGTATTTACAAGCTAAGGGACGTATAAATAAGCCCTCAAACTCCATAGAACTCAGAATCACACACAAAAAATCCATTGTTGCACAATCTGACCAAAAACTTGAAACTTACATTTACCTCGTGTATTTCCAAGCCTTTTGGTTCCTAAAGCTTCTAAACATCAACTACAAACCATCCAAAGTCCTTTTGCCCAACTGTAACACCTCCATCATCAAGTTCCATTTTCAAAAACAAGGGTCTGCAATTTTACTTCTCCAGAACTCCTCAGTCACTTTCAGCTCAAGCCAAGCATCACATTAGCTTCCTGGGAACTTGAGGAAGCTAACCCAATCACTAGAACTCATTGAAAGCAGCTCAAACTCCATACACGATTTCCAGTTTTGAGGTAAGTTTTCTCAACTTAGAACTTTTCATACAAGCATCATTAATGTTTACTTTATGAAGGTAAAATGTAGACCTCATTGCTACGAAGCTGTACATATCCATAGTTTATATTTATATGGCTTAAGCTTAGAGAATTTTAAAGTTGAAGTTTCTGAAATTTTTAGGGTTCTAATTAGGGCCAGAGAAATTCTCATTCGTCTTTGATTTTTAGCTTTAGTTATTTACATGGTTAGATTCGTGAGGAAAAATGCAACAACTTTCATGTTGTCATCTTCCATTTTTGTTGAGAAATGAGAAAGTTGCAGGTGGTCTGGCTAAGCACGAGGTTGAAGATAAAGTTGTCTTCAGGAAGGAGTATCTAATATATATTTATGCTTTTATTATGTGAACGGATGAAACAGGCTACCCCAGTGGTACAAGAAGCGCGCGTATTAGAAGGTCCTGGGTTCGAGCCCCAGTGAGACCTTTTACAATTTTCACATTTTTTTTCATTTTTTTTAATCATGCAGCACTTGGGCCTCCACCCCTGGGGCTTAGCATTTTTGCTGAACATCACCCCCCCCCCCCCCCTTGTTTGCTTATATACACGCAGCCCAAACCCTTTTTTTAAATTATTTTCTATTTTCAAAAAAATACTAATGGGTCAGGCTTAGTCAAAAACTGTTTTTTTACTTAAAAACACCACAAATTAATATTTTCACCCCCTGACTTACCCTTTTATTTTTTTATTTTTTTATTTATCTTTTTATTTTTATTATTATTAATATTATCGTAATATTTATTTTTAATAAAAATCTCAAAAATATTTCATTTATTATTTAGGTAATAATATATTTATATTTTATTTCTCTCAAGACAAAAAAATATTTTCTTTAACAAATTAATTTATCTTTTAATTATTTAAGCAATAATAGACTTAGGTAAATTAGTTTTTTAATTAAGATTAATTTAGAAGCCCTAGTTCCTTTTATTTAATTAATACTATTTTAATATTCAAAACATTTTTTTCATAAAAACCTAAAAAAAACTTTTCTTTTCTAATTAACTTAATTAATTTTTCTTATTTCTTTAGGTTAAATATTTTCTTCTAGTTTATTTAAGTCAAAACAAACAAAACCTTTCTTAACAAAAATCCAACAAATTCATACTCTTTCTCATTTATTCATGCTTGTACATTATTATTTCAATTCTTGTACATTGTTCAATATGGTTGTAATAGTTAATTAGATTTAAATTCTTGCAATCCCCATTTGTAAAAATGTATACCCCATCCCCCAAATAATGTAATAGCGTAGAATATTTACTTTCCGCAATTTATCGCTTTATATAAATGCTTATAATTAGGATTTGTATGGAAAGATAAAATCAATGCTTAGAAACCCTAATACAAGACAAATCAAAGCATGAAAAAGATACACTTGCACACTTTGCACCTCTAGGGTAAACACCACTTGTTGCCTTGAGAAATAAATGGTCATAATACACATGTGAGGTATCTTAGCAAAAGAAATCAAAAAATACAAGACCATGGTCCCTCGATGATGCTATCAAAGTTTCCTTTCAAGATGATCTTAGTCCCTCAAAGAGAATTTCGAAGATATTTCACAATATTGCTATCATGGCTATACGATGACCCACGCCCGTCCCTTTACATCCAAAGATAGGGCTTCTTACCAAATCGATAGCAATATCAAAGGAAAGGAAGAAAGGAACTAAGACTTTTGAGTAGGTAGATTGTTCCTAGTTGCCTGCTAAATTTCATATCAAACACACTTGCTTGTTTTCAAAACAAACACCAACACTTTCAAAAAGACTTTCAAAAATACTTTCAAAAACACTTTCAAAACATCTTTCAAACTTGAAACATTTTCAAAAGCTCAACACTTTGTATACGTTCTTACGAACGAGAACTATTACAAAGTTTGCCTAAACGATGGTGCCTTTTCAAAATACTTTCAAAAACCACACAAAGCACATTTTCAAACAAAAGCAAGTGATCTAGCAAGCAACTAAGATCTCATAGATAACTATGGATGGAAAGGGTGCTAATACCTTCCCTTTTCATAATCTACCCCCGCGAACTCAAGAAATAATCTCGAAGGTCATTTATGTTCTTTTCAGCCTTTCCTTTTGGATAAAAGAAAAGTTGGTGGCGACTCTTGCTAATCGCAACATATGAAATAAAATGCAAAACGACCAAGTCAGTTCTTCCACCGTATCACAATTATCAATTATGGAGATTGCATCCTTTCTCTTGTTTACCAACTGCTATGTAGACCGTTTTTGCTGATTATTTCATAATTTTATGTTGTGATTTTGAATTCTTTTTTGTCAATTTCGATACATCTTATGCTGGATTGACTTGTTTTAGTAGTTAATATATATTTCATTTTGGCTTTTTAAAAAAAAAATCAAAGTTACAATTCATTTATTAGGATTAAAATAAAAGTAACTTTGAAGTAAATAAATTTGAGATTTTATTTTAGATATACTTTTTAATAAAAAAACATAAATATGGTTGAAAATGATTTAAATTAAAAAAACTAAGCATGTTAAAAAATATTGACACTATAAATTATATATTTCTCTCTCTCTCATATTAAAAAAATTATTTTTCAAAAGCAAAAACATAATTTTTTTCCTTTTGACCGTGAATTTTTTTTAATAAAATAATTCTTTACATTTATGATACAATGTATTTATGTACCTTGTTGATGCCATTTTAATTGATTTTGAGTATTTATTTAAATTATAATACTTTATAAACTTATTTATCAATACATATGTTACAATATATATTTATTTATAGATTATGTGTATCTATTTAAGTAATAGATATTTAATATTAAAAAACAATTTATTATATTTTAAATATATAATTAAGTTCTCTTGAATCTTCAAGATGTATCAATTATTTGAAAATAAAAGTATTATTTGATTCTAAAAATATATAATTAAATTGATATGTATATCATTTATTTTATAAAATTATACATATACCTTGAATCAAATTAACATATTCATTTTGTGCCCACATCCAAAGTTTATATTTATATTTATTATATCCTCAATATTCTGGATTTTTTGGTCCCCACATCCTAAAGTTCACCTTTACATTTATTATACCTCCTAATATTTTGAATTTTTTTAGGCAACAAGTCCCCTATAAATAACAAAAAGAAAATCATATTTTTCATTACCAATACATCAAATAATTTATGTACTATACAACCATGATGGTTTCATCCTCCAAAATTGTGTTCTTTGTGCCAATGTTACTAACTATTCTTGTTGCTTTGCAGGTCACTAATGGTGAATATAAGTATGAAGCCTTTTTTCCGAAAGTTGAAGTTGTGATTAGGAACAACATGAGTGGTACTCCAGCAGGTCTTCATTGTAAAGATAAAGACCATGATGATGGGTTTCATAGAATAGATTATGGTGAAATCCATAGCTTCTCTGTCATGTATGTACCTTATGTGGGACATGCCTTATGGTTTTGTCAATTTACATGGGACACAGAATCTCACCACTTTGACATTTTTGTTCAAAACAGAGATGTGAAAGTTTGTCCAGCACACTGCAATTGGTCGATAAATCAATCTGGACCATGTAGAATTAGCGAAACAACTCTCGAATGCTTTCCATGGAATGAATGGAATAATGCTCTTAATGTGTAACTTGTCTATTTTTCTCATTCAAACTTATGTAGAATGAAAAATAAAAATAATATTGAAAAAAATTATTTTAAGTTGTTATATATAAAGAGATTCTAGTGAGAATTGTTTGCTATTTATTGTGATAAACGTGAACAAATAATAACAATTATAATAACAGTCGGGTATCAGAATAACATGAAATAATTATAACACAGTTAAAATATAAGAGAATAGTATAGAAATGAGAAGAAACACAATTGAATTATTATAAGATGATGATGCATAAACAACAATATGAGTTCTCTATATATAAGAGACTCATATACTAAAATAAGTTGATACATATTTAGTAAATTATGCTTAATCTTCTCTTTATCATAGAAATTAGTGATTTCTAATGCATTGACATTTTCTACAAAACAAATGACTTTATGTTCTCACAATCTCCCACTTAAAGTCATTTTGTTTTGTTTCCAAAATTTATATCCCTTGTTAATTCCATGTTGCTACGTTTTAGATAGGCCATAAGAAGAATTGCACCAATAAAACTTGTTAGCGTTGATCGGCTTTATCATAACATCTGCTAGGTTGTCTTTTGTGTGAATCTTCTGCAAGTCCACACTCCCTTCCTCTACTACTTCACGAACGAAATGGTATTGAACTCCTATGTGCTTTGTCTTGGAATGAAAAACTGGATTTCTTGCAATGTGCAAGGCACTTTGATTGTCACAATACACAATATTTTTTTGTTGTTTGCATTCGAGCTCTTCCAATAACCTTTGAATCCATATAGCTTTCTTGCATGCTTGGGTAGCTGCCATATGCTCAGCTTCTGTAGTAGATAGAGCTACAACAGTCTGCAATTTGGATAACCAGCTTACCGCTCCTCCTGCAATTGTAAACACATAGCCTGTAGTAGATTTTATTTTGTCAAGATCACCTGCATAATATGAATCAACATATCCTCTGACACCAAACTCCAATCCTCCAAAACATAATGCAACATCTGAGGTTCCTTTAATGTATCTCAGGATCCTCTTCCCAACATTCCAATGCTCTTTACCAGGATCTGCCATAAACCGACTGACCGCTCCCACTGCTTGTGCAATGTCTGGCCTTGTACATATCATGGCATACATAAGGCTTCCCACCGTTGATGCATAGGGTACTCGAGACATTTCCATCCTCTCCGCTTCATTGCTAGGATTCATACTTGAGGATAATTTATAATTGATAGAAAGTGGGGTAGATATTGGCTTACAGTCTTGCATGTTGAAGCGCCGCAAAACTTTTCGTAGATAATTTCTTTGAGAAATCCAAATGTTTCTATCTTTTCTATCTCGGTGAATTTGCATCCCTAAAGTCTTGTTTGCTGGCCCCAAGTCCTTCATATCAAACTCCCTAGCCAATTGTGCCTTCAATTCTTGGATTTGATCTTTGTTGGGGCCTACCACCAACATGTCATCCACATACAACAACAAAATGATGAAAGCATTTTCCTTTAACCTCTTGTAATATGTACAATGATCTGAGCTCAACCTATTGTATCCAAGGCTAATAATGAAAGAATCAAATCTCTTGTACCAACACCTCGGCGCCTACTTTAAACCGTACAGAGATTTGGTCAACCTGCAAACTAAGTCTTCTTTTCCTTTTTCTTCAAAACCTTATGGTTTTAGCATATATATTTCTTCTTCAAGTTCTCCATGAAGAAAAGTAGTCTTTACATCCAATTGTTCAAGATGTAAATCATAAGCAGCACACATAGCTAACACTACTCTGATAGTGGTAAGTCTAACCACCGGAGAAAATATTTCATTGAAATCAATTCCTTCCTTTTGAGCATATCCTTTAACCACAAGTCTTACGCGATATCTTTCCACTTGATCATCACCATCATGCTTAATCTTATAGACGCATTTGTTGCTGATGGCTTTCCGACCCTCTGGAAGTAAAACAAGATCCCAAGTCTTTTATCTATGTAAGGCTTCCATTTTCCAAGCATTTGAACCATTATCCAAGTTGCATTTCCATTTTTGGAAGAAAGGCACCATTGTTATTCTTGAAAAGTGGCTTTAATCATAAAGTCCACTCTCCTTGAGCATTAAACTTATTCTTTCTGCACACACAAACCCTATAAACCAAAAGCAAGTATGTCTAAAGTACTAACCACTCTATGCAGCCTTGTACCTTGCCTTGGAACAAGATGTTTCAACTTTGCTTCAAAAACAAGAAAGATGCTACAACTTGAGATTTTAAAATTCTGACTTGTTGTAGAACATAAAACCTCTTGCCTATAAATACATACACTATTTACAATATAAGGCACGTATGTATAAGCCCTTAAACTCACTTAAACCCTCACAAAATCAGATTACACACAAAACTCCATTTTTGTGCAAGAACTGACCTTACACTCTCATCTCTCAAATTACTCATGCGTTTCCTCTCCAAATCATTCTAAAAGTTCCTAAACATCATCCATAACTCATCCCAATACCTGTTACAGTTCCGTAACTCCATTTCCACCATTGTCCAAACTCAAAAATAGAGCACTCCAAATGGACTTCTCTATACCATTTCAGCCACTCTCCAACCAAGCTAATCATTGCATTAGCTTCCTGGGACCTCAAGGAAGCTAACCTGATCCTTACAGCACCTTGAAAGTTGCTCCAACTCAAAACACGATACCGTCTTGCAAGGTGAGTTTTCTGATTTTTGAACTCCTCATATAGGCATTATTAAGCTTTCATTTTCAAAGATAAAATGTAGATACCATTGCCATGAAGTTGTACATATCTATAGTTTGCATTTATGTGGCCTGAGCTTAGAGAATTTTGGAGTTGAAGTTTCTGAATATTTTAGGTTTTAAATTAGGGCCAGAAAAATTCTCACTCATCTTGGATTTATAGCTTTAGTTATTTATATGATTGGATTCGTGGGAAGAAATGCCACAACTTTCATGTTTGTACTTTCCATTTTTGTTGAGAAATGAAGAAGTTACATGTACTCTGGCTGGATGAAGGTTGAAGACGAAGTACAGGCCTTGGAAGCATTATATGTTATGTATTTATCATTTCATATAAGTAAACAGATGTATAACCACCCCAGTGGTAAGGCAGCATGCTGGTAACCAAGAGGGTGTGGGTTCAACATCCAGCGTGCTACCTTTTTTCCTTATTTCTCACATTTTCTCTCTTTTTTGTCACACAGCAGCGCCTGGGCCTCTCCTTTGGGTTTTTGTTCTTTTTTGCTGCTTCTAACCCACTGCCTTACTTTTGCACATCTGGCCCAACTTTATTTTACTTATTTCCTTTCTTATTTTATTTTATTTTCAGTTTTATTTTATTATTTTTATTACTATTATTATTATTTTTTATTAATGAAAAAAATATATAAAAAAATTTATTTATTATTTACACTTATTTATTTTATTTTCTTTATAAAGACAAAAAGAACAAAAATATTTTTCTTTTAATAAATAAATTTATTTTTCTTAATTAATTAATATTTAGACTTAGGTTTAATTATTATTTTATTTTCCTGATTAAAATTAACTTAGAATTTAGGTTTCTCTTAATTAGTTAATTTTCTCATTTTATTTTTATTAATTTAAAACCGTTTCCTTAAAAACCCTAAAAATCTTTTTTAAGTTAATTTCTTTTCTTAATTAGTTTAAGTTAATTTTATTTAATTTTCCTTAATCATTTTCTTTAATTAGGTCAAGACTAAACCCTTTCATAAAAAAAACAAACAAAATCATTTCTTTTTCCATTTACATTCTTGCATTTTTTATTTTCAATTTTGTACAATATTCAATATGGTTGTAATAGTTAATTAGATTTAATTTTATTGCAAAATCCTCATTTGTAAATTTGTACACCCCCTCCCCTATTGATGTAATAGCTTAGTATTTTTATTTTTCGCAATTTAATGTTTTATATATAAATTCTAGTAAATTAGGGTTTGTCTGAAAAGATAAAATCAATGCTTAGAAAACCCTAATTCAAAGACAAAATAATGCATGAAAATCAATACACTTGCACACTTACACCCTTAGGGTAAATCCACTTTGTTGCCTTATGAAAATGGTCATAATACGCATGTAAGATGTCTTAGCAAAAATAAACAAAAATACAAGATCATAGTCCCTCGATGACGCTACAAATGTTGCCTTACGAATGATCTTAGTCCCTCCAAGAAAATGCTAAGATATCTCACAATATTGTTATTCATGACTATACGAAGACCCATGCCCGTCCCTTTACATCCAAAGATAGGGCTTCTTACTAAATCAATGATAAGATACCAATATCAAAGGAAAGAAAGAAATGAACTAAGACTTTTGAGTAGGTAGAATGTTCCTAGTTGCTTGCTCATTTTCAAACCAAAACATCCTTGTTATTTTCAAAACAAACACCAACACTTTCAAAACATCTTTCAAACTTGAAACATTTTCAAAAGACCAACACTTTGTATACATTCTTACGAACGAGAATTATTACAAAGTTTGCCTAAACGATGGCGCATTTTCAAAATACTTTCAAAAACCAGACCACAAGCACACATTCAAACAAAAGCAAGTCATCTAGCAAGCAACTAAGAGCCCGTAGATAACTACAGATGAAAAGGGTGCTAATACCTTCCCTTTTCATAATCTACCCCCTGAACTCAAGAAAAAAATCTCAAAGGTCTTTCATGTTCTTTTCAGCCTTTCCTTTTGGATAAAAGAAAAGTCGGTGGCGACTCTTGCTAACCGCAACAATTGCGATCAAACGCAAAACAACCAAGTCAGTTCTCCCACCGTGTTACACCCACAATCTCCTGGAGTAATCATCAATGAATGATACAAAATATTTTGCTCCTCCTATGGACATTTGCGATGACTCCCACACATCAGAATGAATCAGGTCAAGTATGTGGTTTCTCTTAGTAGTTGATCTATCAAACTTCAACCTATTGTGTCTGCTTACTACACAATGCTCACATAAAGGTAGACTTACTGATTTGAGTTCGGGTAA